TGAATAGACATGTCATTTTTCTTTAATCCAAATGTAATGTTAATCTCAAACATTCAGGCATTGAATCATGATTTAACAGCACTGTGGGGACTTCCTACTGGTCTCTTATTCATCATAGTTATTAGCTGCCCTTTGTTTGTGCTGCTAGTCTTTAGTATTTCTGTGTTCACAGTTTTCCATGAAACATGGAATTACTCCTGGCATATAGATACACCTCAAGCAAATTACTCACTCCTTGTGAAAAACAGTAAGTGTGCTGCTAAGCAGCTTCCCACTTTGGTGAAGTGTGTCCTATTCTTGAGACCTCTGGGCCATGCTTCCTTTTTTCTCTTCTTTGCACTCTTTCTCTTTCCATTCCTCTCAGTGGGAGTAAACTGGATTAACTTGAGGGTATGCAAGCACTGTCATCAAGCTGTAGTTCTCAGCCTGAACAGATACAATGCTGAGAGAAAGCAGGGGTTATTGAATATTACAATTTCTTCCTTCTGTTTCAATCCAAACAAATGAACAGAATTCCTTCTTATGCCTTAAGCACTTTTTAAAGTTAATGTATTGTTCTTGAGTAGTAAAAAATATAAGTAGACAGAAGGGCTAAGTGCCTTAATAGCTGTGCAGTGCAGCATCTTCTCACTGTGTACAGATAAAGCAGAGAGGAGACAGGTTTGAGCAGGAGGAGGAGTAAAAAGCTTTGATGTATAACCAAGGGCTTAAATGTGGAGGATTAATACAGAATGGACACGTGGAGCTTGTGCCAGATGTGCATGTTTTGGGTAGGCAGTAACTGGGTCAGGCACTGACCTGCTGTCTGAAAGGTTTGCACTCAGGGCATTGAGGTGTTCAGTATCTAGATATTACCAATGCAAGAACAGAAGGCAGAGCACAGTCTCTGGATTAGCAGTGTCAAATTACAGGGCATGTGGTGACAGAATCCTAGAAATTACCTTGGATTCAACAAGTACTGATTGCCTAAAGCTTTAATTTGTCTTCTATAAATTAGCTTAACATAGAGGTGCTGACCTGACTAGGTGGCTGATTTTTGTGTGTGAAGGCTAAACTATATAGTTTCATTTACCCTATCCAGGTATTATAGGAGAGTTGGACTACCAGTGTTGCAATGCACTGTTCTAAAATCCTGCTTGCAAACTTTATTTTAATGGAGAATTGTTAGAATCTTTAAAACATGCAATGTCAGGACCCCTGCAAACTGGCCTTTGAGACAAATCTGATCTGTTTGTGCCTCTTCTCGAGGTGCTGAATGTCTTGAGCACAGCTTTGTGCTGATAACCCTGTTTAAAATGCCAGACTTGTTCCCTTGGCAGCACTGTGCTTGGCTCCACTGGCCATGTTGTCCTATGGCTCCTGGCAGAGTCTCTAAAATGCAAGCTGCAGACTGCTCCTTATCTCCCAGGCATTAAAATGCCAAGAGGACTGAGGGCAATTATGTCACAGATCTCTCATCTTGTGGGGGATTAAATGCCAAGTTCTATACTGGCAGGAGCAGTACCTGTCTGGGAAACATGGAGAGATTAGACTTTTACCTTCAGCTTCCCCTGAGCCAGCATGCTACAGCAGCTCAAATGGAGTTTCTGTGCCTTGGGTGCTGTCACATCTCTAGTTTAACTTGGTTTGATCTTTCAGTTTATAGCCAACAGGGATAGAAACACCTGAAGGGTGGCACTGTGAGGTTATTTACCTAAGCTTACTTAGCAAGTGGCCATTCAGGAGTTAGCATAAATTACCATGTAACACAAGTGAGATGTGGGCCTGGCATTGCCTTCTGAAATTCCCATGTTCTAGTTTAAAATATTTCTTTCTCCTAGATCTGGTCACTATGAAAGCTGTGAGAATCCTTTTAATTGCACCGTTTGAGTCCTGCATGAACCAGGAGGAGGGAAGTATCCAATGTCCTTTGCCTGCTTTTATACCTTACTGGTGCTGTAGGTGAGCCTGTCAGTACTCTCCTACATTGACCTGGCCTGTTTCAGGACACAGCTGTTGCTCTTCACTGTTTAACCTGGCACTGTGGCCCAAACCAAACTCATGTGCTTTGCCACTGAGGCTTACTGGAACTGCTTGGTTGGATGAACAGCACTCAGTCACCCTAGGACTGTATTTTGTAATGTTGGACAGCAGCAGATGTTTCAAAGGATAATAGTATGAGTTGTGCCGAACAAGTTTTAACAACCTTTCCTTCTGGGGAATTTTGTTCTTGACCCATTTAAATTAATTACTTGCATTACTATTATCTTATTATAATAGTAATGCAAGTAATATTATTATAACATTATCATTAAAAATGGAAGTACAAATACTTGATCCTCTAGGTGCTGTACAAACACTGTCATTCTTTTTTTTTTTCCCTAAAGTGTAAGATTTTATATTCCTAACTTTTAAAAACTATTTAATGTAACCAGCCTTCATCTTCCATATAAATGTTTAAATTTTTTGGTTTTAATCTAACTAAGCTTTCAATCCTAGTATTTTCTGGCAATTAAAACCATTATAATTTTATTCTCCATAGCACATAATTTCTTTTTATGGTTCCTGAATTAATTGCCTTTTGTTTTCATTAAGTACCATCTGTCCTTGTGTTCTCAGCCACGAGAGGAAATAAGTGGCCTGGCTTTATATTCTCTGTTATGCATTTTTCTAGAGATAGTTCCTTTTCTAAGGCTGTGGCTTCTCTGTCTCTCTTCAATCCAGACTGTCTAGGTGTCTGATAACATGCTGACTGTCTCTCTGTCTTCTCTTTCTGATGGATCTTTAAACTTTGGTAAACAACTGAAAGCACTTTGCCAGGGGAGGCTGTATCCCCTGCTGATTATTTGAGTACAGTTTTCTGTAGCAGGCAATTCTGTAAGTGATTTCAGTGCTGTGTCTGTATGCTGGAGCCAGTTTAAACTTGCTAGTGTGGTCTTGGTGGCAGCCTTGCTTCAAGGGGATGAAAACCCATTGAGGTTAGCTCCCCATGTGTCTCAGGTAGGTGCAGCAGTCCCACCAAGCTCACAGAAATTGCTGTAGTTCTGTTTAGGGAGCTCTGGGCAGGGAGCACCTGGAGAGCTGTGTAGACCTTTCCCTGTGCTGACATACATGGAGGGCTGAGACAGTCCATCTTCACAGCATTAGTCCTTTGGATAAGGCTAAAGCATGTGCACTGGTTCCAGGAGCTGAGAGCTCAGTCAGTGTTGCTGGTGGCTGCACTGTGCCACATGGATGCTCTGAGAGAACTTTCCATAGCAGAGTTCTCACACATCATGGTTGTGTGAGAAAGGGACCATCACTGTGAGTGGCTGGGACCATTGGCAGGAGTAGAAACATGGCTATGGTAAGGATCTGAGGAGCAGCTCTTAGTGCTGCTCCTATCCCCCTTTGAGAGAATACTGCAGTCCTCCAAAGGCTGCCCCAGTGCTCCAAAGACTGCCTCAGTACTGGGGTCTTCCTGACCTGCAGTGCCTGCAGTGGTACTATGTCAAACCTGTTCACACTTTGGCTACCTGAAGCTGGATTAAAGATTTATCACTTTCTTGTGGCTGAACACTGCTCTGATGATTTCTATGAATTATGTTCTAAGCTATGATTAATCAGGCAGCTGTTTATTAAGCTGGACATGATGTCAATTATCCTTGTAATCTCTGTAAGCCTGTAGCAGAAAATAACAGATCAGTTTCTCTAAGGTATGACTGGAGGCATTGGTGAGGAACAAGAAAAGTGGGCATTTGCTATCTCAGGGGTAACAGAGGTACATCTGCCTTTTGTCTGCCTTCCTTTCTTTCTGAAGCCTGTATCCTGAAGTCTTTTCACCCCAGAAGAGCTGCAGTGATTCATCAACCACTTGAAGAGAGATTTTTATGTGTATATTTGGCAATCAGATGAAAACTTCAGGGAGATGAAACTACACTGTGGTATTTAACTATTTTGATAGACTCACTGGGAGTTTCTTACAGTTAGAGAGAACAGAATCACCTCTGGTGGTAACCAAGTTGGGACTACTCCTTGTAGAACAAGGCAACTTGGCCTGGACTAATGCACACCTCCTGGGTTCCATTTTCCCTTCTTTGGAAAATTATTTAACTTGCCACATCAGAAACTTGTTTGTGTAGTAGCCCACTCAAGTCCTATTAAAATCCTTTTCTACTAAGGGCTGAGTACCTCTGAAATCAGTCAAGTGCCAAAGCTGTTATGTCCCCTGGATCACCACCAATGGCTCACAAGGTATGCTAATAAATGGATTATACTGTGACTGTGTGGGGGTCTGTCTTATATTTAATAAAGGAATCTGTTCCAAGGGCAGATTTTAGGGTTTTTTTTTCAGCACTGAGTTAATTAAATTTTTCTATTATTATTTTTTTAGAAGCTTCAACATGCTAAAGCATGTCACAAAGTCAGCATCACGTTAGCTGCCCTTACAATGAAAGGCAACAGTTCTTCAAATGTCACATTTTTTGCCATTTGGAACAGGTAAAGAGCAGGTCAGCTCATTACATTAAAAAAGTTAACAGGCTTTAATACATCAGCTTTCTAATTTGTTCTTAAAGGTGATCTTCCTATACAAACTTGTTCTGCATGACTTAGTCTCCTTTTAGTCTACAATTCATGTGTCATCACTCTTAAGAGTCAAAGCCAGCCTCTGGAAAAGTGGAAATGGGATAAGGAAAATTCAGTTTGAGTGAGCCATTTGTTCAAAAACACTGTTATACTCTACCCATGCTGCCTCATTGCTGAAACCTGAATTTCTGTTAAAAAAGTCTGTTTTGAAACATGGTCCAGCTCCTTGCAAGGTATGCAATGACTTTTCCAAGTCACTAGGGTTAGACTGAAGCTCGGTGTAGCTGATGCCTTCAGACTCCAAAAATTATAGTGTGTAAGTTTTTGAATGTACTGACTCCAGCCTGCTGTTGGAAACCAACATGCACTCACTGAAGAAAGAACTGAAAGAACTGCTTGTAGTTAATTAACACTTTCCTCACTTCATGCCTGCTTTTGGAGTTTTCTACACCTACCTACATTTCCCTTCTTGCTTGAGCAAAACTGGGAAGCGGAGTTCAGGCATTTTAGCTGGTCTTCCATGGGTCAGCAGGCACAGCTTCAAAACATCAGTCCTGCAGGGCTCTTCTGCAGTCACTGCCTGGAAAAGAAACAATGTTGAAGCTGTGATTAAGGTTACAAGTCTGTCAAATATCATTTTGTATTACAGCACTTGACTACTGCCTTCCTGTGGTGAAAAGGCTGGGGAGAGGTGTATGCAGGAGCTTACTTGTTTCAGATGGGCTACTCGTAAGCACCTTTGGATTTTGAAACTGAAATATGAATGAGGAGAAAACTGAGCTTTACTCCATGTGGTTTTCTAACTAGGATAGCTACCATATTCATTGGGAGAGAGGAAGAAGGGCATTCAGGTATCACCACTGACAAAATTCTTACTTGGGTACAATTTCCTCTTACTAGTGGAGGGAGACAGGATACTGCTCAAATTGCCTTGGTTTTCTGGGCTGAGTCCTGTGCTGCTCTTAAACTGGTCTGTTTACAATGGGTTCCTGGCATTGGTAGGAGGTTTCTATGGAATTCTGTTTATGTGCAAAAGTGAAAAGAGGAAGCAGAGCCAGCAAAATATGGATGGTCCAGCTGGAGTAATTTATATTTAGAGAAACCTTTGGATTTAAGATGTGCTGATGGAGGACAGGTAGGACAGACAAATTCCTCAAGTGCACCACTTGATCTTCTCCTCCCTGTTTTTCAAATCCCACACGTTCTGCCAGAAATAAAAGGCACTGTTCTCTTTGCAGATTTTCAAAACTAGCCTGTCACCTGAAAGGAAGAACCAACTTCTTTGGATCAGCTTCACAATGAGAAGCTGTGAAGCTGTGTCGCTCTGTCAGCTAAGCAAAAGGCCTTGTGTCTCCTATCCCTTTATATTTGCAGTGGCTTTCATGCATGCATCAGGGCAGCTAAGGGCTGAGCTAGGAACAGGGGGAACTCAGTGCTGGGCTCATATTCAGTTGCTGCCCAACAGAAGAAACAAACTGGCAGGAATTAAAATTTCAGCAAGTTAATCATGTTGGGAAGCATTTGCTGAGGATGTTTTGGTTGCCAGCCCCTGGCAGCCCTGGGGCTCAGGAGCCAGCAGCAGGTACTGCCAAGGGTACTGCAGCAGCGTGCTCTGCTGTCTGTCCACCTGCCAGCCCGCACGGCGCCCTCCTCGCTGCACAGACCGGGGATTTACTGTGGCAGTGTGAGTGGCCAACTCAGCTGAAACCACTGCAAAACTTTATACTCTTCTGTCACTTTCATCTTGGAAACAGGACAGAACCACTTCAAACAACAATGAAACCCTTTTCTTTTCAATTTAACTAATCTTCTCTGTGTAAACCAGAGCTGTATGAAAAGAACATGTACTTCTAAAGGTTAGTTCCTTGCTTTTTCCCCCTTCTCGCTCGCATGTACAAGCTTGCTGCAGGTAAAGTAGGATTATAACCTCTGATTGTGGGATTCTAGAACCAGTAACCAAACATACCAGAGGAAAGCTCCTTTGCTTCAGGTTTACTATTTTGTTATCTCTTGCAAGACTAAGAAGCAGATTCTGTTATTCTGCACAATTATACTGAAGTCTCAACAGAAAGCCTTTTAACTCCCCACATGCTTAAGCCACAGCTATGTTGATTAAGACTTGAAAAATCTTTATTTTCCTGCAAGGCTTGTCTTCAAGTTACATGGGTTTAACAATTTGGTTAAACTGATGCAACTTTGTGGTTGAAACTTAGGGATGATGCACTGTTTGAATCAGATGCCTCTGTTTAGATGAGTCGGGGTAACCACACACAAGATTCCTGAAGAAATAAGCAGAGCGTGCCACTAGTCACTAAATTCCTACTGCTATCATATTTAACCATCCTAAACAAATACAGTTTGCTAAATTTAACACTAAAGGTGATGACAGAATGACATAAATTTAGTTACCTTCCCCCAAGAAAATATGTGAAATAATTATACTGGGGAATGCATTAAAGTTTTGGATAGGAAGTTTTATAGGATCATGTCGCAGCATTTTGCAGGAACATGGCTGAAAATGAAGATCTGACTAAAAAAGCTGTTAGCCTTTGAGGCAGTGCACAAAACAACCACTGTCAGTACCTCCTAAGGGTCGATCCTGCCTAGAGAAGAGAGATGAAAATAGATTTAATCTGAGGTTCTCTAAATCTGATAAAGAAGGAGCCTGTTGAAAAAACCACTTAGCCAAGGTGTGCTTGCACATGTTGCAGAGCAGTGTATGTTGGCCTTGGCATGAACAAATGGGTTTCCTACATTCCCTAACAGTTATCCTTCACTGACCAGCTGCCTGTACCCTCAAAAACAAATACAAAAACCTCCCTTCTGCAGCAAAGGTGTGTTACTGCAGCACTTGTTATTTTTAATTACCAATTTTGATTTCTAAAATTGTAGATTGTTAGAGAAGGAGTGTCACGTTTATCGATTTTCCTTGACTATTTTTTGGTGAACTGAAAATAAGCCAAGGAACTATGTTTTGCCTGCATCAAAAGTCTTCTTGGAGTACTTAGGATGCTTTCAATGGTATAACATTGCTAGTTAGGGTAATAAACTCTCTAGGCAAACTGAGTTATCTATTGCTGAGTTTCCATAAAGGATGTATCTAACCTGCTCTCTGGACAAAGGAGAGAGCTATTATACTGCTTTCACAATCTTTTCACACTGGCTAAGGAAATGTCCAAATGTGATACTGACTGAGAAAAAAGAGGACTTGCAGTGTAGTAGTTGTTTCCTTTCCCCTCTGCAAAATGGAGAACATTTCAGTTCCCTGTAGCTTGGTGCTTTTATCTGTGAATGTATAGTGCATATTGGACCCTGCCAGACTGTCAGCTTTGGTAATGGCAGAAGAAGTGTGAAAACAAAAACAAATGCTCCTGCAGGTTAGTGTGAAAGGAAGAGGAAAATATATTTGTATCCTGTGAAATACAAGATGCTAGACAACATATGCTCAGTAATCCTTGTAGGCAATATTATCTGTGAATGCCATCTTCTCTTTCTGAAGAGTAGCAGTTATGTTCCTACATGAGGTCTTAGCCATAATTGCTGTCTCCTGCTGTATAACAGTAATTTTAGCAGCTGTTGCACAGTGTTTCCCTACTGACTCTATTTTCCGTGTATGTATGTACCAGTCACTTATCTTACAAATGGTGAATTTAGTTTTGAATAAGGCTTTATTCAGGCATGTGTTCATATTCTCTAAGATCCCAGAGACAGCACCTTCAACAACATCATTTCAAAGTCTTCTGTGGCAAGGATTAGTCAAAGATTGGAAAATGCTCAATCCAAATGGGGGAAATTTAGCTTGCAATACCTCGGGACACCTTTGCTTCCAGCTTCCTGGTATGTATTGTCTGGAAAAGCTCTGTGCATATTGTACAGCCATTTGCCTAGTTAGAAACAGAGCAAGGAGCAATGAGCTGTGTCCTGTCCCTTCTTTTGTGCTAAAACAGTTATTTGCTCCATCTGTTGTACAGGCCTAATGTTTTGAAATAAATAATGGTGGCTGGTTGTTATGTCTGTGGAGATGTTTAATATCTGTTATTAATTATTATTAGTTATTAATTAAGTGATCAGTATAGCATGAAACAGTGATCATCTAGGAGGAACAGGAACTTTTGGCAGTTTGCCATAGTGCCATAGTTCTAGAGCACAAAAATCTATTACTCTGCACATTCAATATATTACTTCGACACAAAGCCATATGTGTGCTGTAAGAATTTGCCTTTGCTTGTCATTTCTGAGTGCATTATCACATGCAAAGAGACAATGAAACCTTTGTTGAGTCAGAATGGAGCTGAACAGCTGGGTCCCACTGCACTTGCAGTGAAAATCTCTAGAGTGCTGTATTTTGTTATTGAGTCTGTATTAGGTTCAAGCCATTGCAAGCATGTGTTTCACTTTCCATGCAATCAGAAATAAAAACCATGCTGGATATGACTTGCAGTGTAGCACATGACTCACCAGTGAAAAGCAGACACTTCTGAGGTGCAATGCAGACTCTCATTGACTTTTAGTCCCCAGCGAGAGCCTAAGACAGGAAACAAATGTAAATGTTGCAATGCTGCTTTAGGGTAGGCGTGTGCACTCATATGTGTCTCTCGTACGGAATGCTGCATTCTGAAAATTAGCTGCATTGGAGGCAGAGGAATGCTGAACAGCAATTTCCTTCTTCTGAAATAGGAGAAGAAAAAAGTACATCCCAGCAAGCGAGGAAGCATCTTACTGGCAACCTTGTCATTTCTGCAGGATTTCTTATTGAATTTCTTTCTTCCTAGCAGAACACTGCTGAAATTGTCAGATATTATTTTCCACAGTCTCTAGTGTTTTTCTGTTGGGAGATCCACAAAGGGAAATACATGCCTGTCTCATGCAATAAGTTGGCTGGGGAAAAAAAAATGGAAGAGTGTTTATGAACTTATGTGCCTTTCCAAGGCATGAGGACAAGGAGAAGTGAAGCACTCACACCTGCACTCCCTCACGTTGGCCAGGGCAGCAACACACCCAGGCATGGTCTGCACAAGCCAGAAGACACATTTTTACAGGGGCTTGAAAAGCACTTTAAGATGAAAGTGCAAATGTTCACTCTGCTTTGCTTGTCTTGTTATTTTCACCACCTCTCTTCCATGCTTTCAGCCTGTGATGTTTAAGAAAGTGAAAGCAAGATTTCTTTGAAAATCTCTGTAACTTGTGAGCTGGAAGAATGCTGGAAGAATGAGAAATAGGAGTGAGGATTGTTACAATTTAATGGAATCAAACACAATGTACTGAAGCCCCCTTATAATTACTACTGTCTAATATTCCTCCTCTCCTCTGCCCTGTAATGTGTATTCTCTACTGGAATCAGGTAAAATCTAACACTCCTGTGTTGCACATAATGTTGTCAAAAGATGTTGCAGAGCAGCATCAGCCTTATGGCACCACTGTGTTTCCCTGCCTACTTCTGTCATTTCAAGTGCCACAACATCTGAGTCAGGGTGCTGAATTTTACCTGTAGTTACCTCTTCACTCCTTGGACACAACACATTTAATTTCTTTTTTTCCCATTTCTTTTTCCCCATGAAAACACTCTTCAAAACTTCAACTGTATTTTTTTTTTCTTTGAAATTCCTACAGTTTTCTAAATGCTTTTTTCTCATTAGGGAAACACCTTTCCTAAGGTGAAATCCTTCTTTAATGCAACACTGCACCAAGTATTACAATGCCTTTGCGTATCTTTGCTTTCTCACATGGCAGAGATTCTCTGCAATGCCCTTGACTCAGAGTGCTATTGATGTAACCCGCCAGAACTCCCATTCTCAGGCAGGTGTGTCTCTCTCCCGAATTACTGCTGGCGTGGCACTAACAGGTTATTTGGCAGCACAGATTTGATCGAGTCAGGCATCAGCACAGGACAACGCTGGTGTAGGATCAGGCAGCACACGAGGCAGACCCTGGCACGCAGTGCTGCGGCACATTGCCTCGAGCAGGCTCGCCCGCCCAGCGCCCCTGGGGGATGCCTGCCTTGGTAGCACCTGACGCTCTTACAGCTGATGGACACGGCAGCAATGCACCTTTGTGTTCGAAACCTTGAACTGGGAAGCGTTACGTTTGTAAGGGAAGTTTCCCTTAAGGTCGCAGGCGCATTGCTTAGGACCCTCTGCAAAGACTCATCAATTAATACAGTTGTTTTGGATCAAGGAGTAGAGTGAGTTGAGGGAGATAGTGAGTGTCCCCAGATGCATTTCAGTTTCTCTCACCTCTACATTTACCATTTGTTAGTATGTAATTATTTTTCCCCCAGCTTCTTTTTTTCACCCCCGTCATTTGCTTTTCCCCTCTGTACGAACACAGGGAGGGAGGTGTAGGTCCAGCTGTTTGGCTGTACTCCAACAGCAAACTTATCCTTTGGTGCTTAACCAGTCAACTCTCTCAGTGAAGCAATGAACTAGAAGAACTCAAAGTAATAGATTCTAGAAAAAAAAAAAAAGTCACCTCTGCTGCTTTCAGAATGGGCAGGATAGGAAGACCTTAGCTAGCCAATGCAGTGGGCCTGGCACGCGAGTTATCTCCTCTGTCTGAGTTTTGGAGCTGTTCAGACCCGAGCAGCTCCTCAGAGCCCTCGTTCCCCTGGGCCTGAGGGCGAGGGGCTCTCTCGGCCGAAGGAAAGCGGTCACTGCACTGGAACGGGACTTATTCCAGCCACGGTCTCCTTATTTCCTCCTTTTTTTCTCTTTGATCTGCTTTACTGTTGTTTTTCTACTTAAAAAAAAAGTTACTGAGAACCCGTATATTTCTTTCACCTCCAATCAGATGATCACAGCTGAGTGATTTCTACCTCACGCATTCATCTTCGGTGCGTTCCGGGGCAACCCCCGCATTTCAGCACAACTAGCGCTCTCCCGCTGCCGACGGCGGCGGGGGCAGGCACAACACACATGCCTTTGTTCTGTCACGGCCACCGAAGCGGCCCGCTGGCTGTGCGGCGGCAGGCAGGCGCCAGCCGAGCCCGGGCCGTCCCCGGGGAGCGCGGAGCTCCCTCCCCACACGGCCGGGCGGGGAGCGCCCGTCCCGCCCGGCGTGCCCCGCGCGGCGGAAGCCGGAAGCGCGGCGGCGGAAGCGGCTCTCAGCTGGCGGGGGGTGTCGCAGGTGAAGCTGGGAAGCGCGGAGCCATCTTGGTGCCCGCGCCGGGCAGGGACGGGACCCGCCGGGGCCGCGCCGGGCTGGGGGGAGTCCAGCAGGGCCCGCCGGCCATGGGCTCATAGACACACCGCGGGGCCACCGCGACCGGAGCGGCGACGGGCTGCCCCCGCCCCGCCCGCCGTGCCCGCCCGCGCCGCTGCCGGTGCCGGTGCCCGTGACGAGCAGCCGGGAGGTCGCGCCGCCCCTCCGCGGGCGCTCCGGCTCCACCGGGCTGTTTTTAAGCCCCCGCCAGCGGGAGGGAAGTTGTTCCCCCCCAGCCCCCGCCGGTGCCCCTGCCCACCCTCCCCTCGGTTCCTGCGCCGGGAGTGAGACAAGCACAACCTCAGGGAGACCCGGCCCTGCGCACAGACACCGGCGGCCCCCCCGCGGCAGCTCCGGAGGAGGAATCCGGCCCCTTCCCTCGTCCTGCAGCGCCTTCGGACCCTCCGTGTGCCCGGCACGCACCTGTCCCGCCTGGAGGCAGCTCTCATGGACTAACCAGCCCCCTCCGCCTCAAGTACATTCTGTGGGCATAAGCATTTTTTAACTTTTTAAAGAACTTTTTTTTTTTTTTTTCTCCCATGGAATTTTTACCAGCTGCCCCTTAGTTATTTCCTGCTTCTCCCATCTCAGACAGCGCTGACTTTGTTTTTTCCTGGTACTGTAGTATGGGGATCAAATCAAAACCGAGGTTTTAAGTATTGCAAGAGCCCTCAAGTCCATTCGCCTGTTAAAAGTGAGCAGCGCTGTTCCTGTCTTTCTTGTTTTCCCCCACGTCGCCTGTCGGATGTGATGGAACTCATGTTCGCAGAGTGGGAGGACGGGGAGAGGTTTTCATTTGAAGACTCCGATCGCTTTGAGGAAGACTCTCTTTGTTCCTTCATCTCTGAGGCAGAGAGCCTTTGCCAGAACTGGAGAGGATGGAGGAAGCAATCGGCTGGACCCAATTCCCCCACTGTCAAAATGAAAGGTAAGGTCACCCGATTTAATTGGGATGCTCTTTGGATTCGTGGAAGTTGTGGGGCAAGGGGGGATGGTGGGTGAGGAGATCTGCAGAAGGAAAGTTAGAGCAGCAGAGAGAACTCCTATGTATGATTCATTGTTGGGATAATTTTTGTCCAAAGATTGAAACTGTAGGTTTACGGGGGTTCTTAAGACAATGCTGTCTTTTAGATGAGTTTTCACCTGTGTGCACTTGTAGCATTGTGGTGCTGCTCTTCTGAGTAGATTCTGTGGGTTTGTTCTGGGAAATCTGAAAACTGTTTTCTATAAACAAACTGCAGACTTGGCTGGGAATAAGTGCAAAAGTTCCCACAGGCTTTGATTGAAGTCCACTAAGGATTCATAGAGGTTTTTGTTACTTCTATAAAGCTACTCAAATAAAGCCGTGTAAGCCATCGTTGTATAGAGCAGTCCGTTTTCCTTGCTGATTCTTGGCATTTCTCCTTTTTCTAGTAAATTAGGTCTTTCTTTTGCAATAGTGGAGCAAGAGGGCCTTACCACTGTCGCAAAGAAGTCAGCAAACAGCAGTGTGCCTGCTTCAAGAGTTGTTTTATTTCCTTTCTGCTGGTAATAATTTATATTTAATAATAGACAGCAAAATAGGTAACATTAGCAAATGAATTTTATTTTTAGAATTAGCTTGATTTTTTTTCTTTTTAACGAAACTTGATTTCTCTATTATCCTACTGCATCGTGACCCTGGAATTCAGGTGATGTTTGCACTCAGCAGAGCCAGATACACAGTTAACAGAAATTACACAAACTCCTACTTTTCCTTTAATCTCCTGTTTCTTTAGGCCAGTGTCAGTACTTTTCCTGATCTTTAACCATCACCTGCCTCATTGATATCTCCCTATCTAGAACTGTACAACTTTATTCTCTTCTGAATATTGCCCTGACATGAACAGAGAATGCAATTTATATTGAATTGAGTTAGAATCTGGCCATGTTGTGCTATGGACAAATGTTCAGGTTTCACTGGTTTAGTACCATAAAGTACACTTTGCATAAACCATAGACTTTACAGAGCAGATTAAGTTTTAAATTCTACTGCTGTAAAGAAAGGGAACTGTGTTGGCATTGTTAAAATCTGTGAGTCCTGAGATGTAGAAGTAAGCATTGTGCATGGGGCAAAGCATATACGTATATATTTATCTCATATTTTGCATTGTCTTGTTGCACATGTTAGCTTGCAAGAAAGGAGCTGAATTTTTAAAATGTACTGGTGTGGAAATAAAGACATCTTTAGTTTGGCAGAGATAAATGGAATTGGTTTGCATGGCTCTGCAAGTCAGACTGATGTTTGCAAAGGTGATTTTTTTTTTCAACTTCCAGATGCTTTTAGCCAACTTTTCTCCACTGGCTCAGTGTGAGTGCATGTTCTTCTGGCTCTTGACCTAGTTCCTTGAGCTCTCTTGACCGAATTAAATCAAGCAGCAGTTGCTCTCTGTGCTGGCACCCACTTGTTGCATTAAAAGGAAAAGACACTTGAGTGGATAGTGGATATTTGCAATCTTCAGGCTCTTTTCTGACATGTAAAACAGAATCACTAACATTGCTGTGATAATTGTAATTATTCACACGATATTGAGATGTTGCTGTTCTGGGTTCTGCAGACTTGCATAGGCAAAGCTTTTATTGCTTACACTTGGTTCATATATTTCAGGTTTTATTAGACACCTAATTCCTTTGTATGAGAATCTTATTTTAACAGGAGGGGCATTTTGAAAGGATACTGTTACCTGCTTTAAGGCTCTTGCTGGCAATTCCCAGGCTCTGGTCAGAGTTATTTTTAGAAGAATGTGAATGTGGATTTGCAGCCTAAATAATTATTTATTCACCCTATGAAGTTACATATGATACTACCAACGTGGAACACTTGCAGGTGCTTTACTGTACACAGTTGTGTTGCCAGAAAGTCTGGTCTGGTGTGAGATCTGTCATTGCCTAGAATCTCCTTGGATTTCTGAACTCCTGTACCAATTTTGCTGTTTTTATACCTCTTCTTGACAGTGTTTTTGAGTGAGAAAACACAGAACTTGCTGGGTCCTGAGGTTGTTGCTCATAGTAAGTCATTTCAAATATGATAATTGAAAATTGAGCTGTGTGGTTTTATTTCCACAGTTTGCCATTTTACTGTTGCCTCTGCAAACAAAAAGTGAGGTTAAACACTAGGTTATTCTGTTAAATGCTAAGAGGAAACACGAGGAACTATATTCTTTTAGTCTTTTCCTCCAGTTTGGAGCTCAGCCTGTGTTTTGGTGTGGAATTAGTCAGACAAGTTATGTAATAGAAAGGCTATCTAGTTTTTTAATTTGTTTTCAGTTTGTAAGTGTCTAATTCTTCTTTAATTGATTCAAAGAGAGTCCCCCTAAGACTGATGGAAGATCTGTTGACTGTCTCTTAAACAAACAAACAAACTACCTGCACACAGGTAGTTATGGCTTTTTTACTTTTTGCAAGTTTTTATTTTCTTCTTGGGTATCTTTAATATTACTGCCATGCTTATTGGAGATTTCATAATAAGGTTTGGGTTAGCTTGTTGCAAATATACACAGTATTCACTACAGAGGATTGCCAAAAAGATGAGTTACTCACTTGTTTGTGAATCACCCCATTGATTTGCTTAGAAAGACAATGGAAGGGAGAGAGAAATGTTTGAGTTTCTCTAATATAATCCTTGGAACTGATTTCTTTATAAAATCAGGTATCTTGACTAGTTATATCAGAAAAATAGAATTGTAATTGGTTGATTTTTCTCACATTTAATTTCTGCTATTATAGTCTCCCTATACTACACTCTTGAAAGGAATTTTCTCCTTACGTGTAGAATTGCCAATGTGGAGAATGAATGCATTGTGTCCACTTCATGGGTGCCCTTAGGTTTTGAAACTACTCTTAATCTCCACTCATTCACCTGCACTGAAATCCTGGAGGAAAGCTGTCAGTTTTGGGAGTCCTGGGAGTCCTGCTGTGATTTGAAATGTTTGTTTTTACAAATGCCTTGTTCTCTTTGCTCACTTTACCCCTTGTGTTGTTAATTTTGAATGGTGTAATGCTTCTAACTGATATTTGGCCAGTCATTACCTGTATGCAGCACTGATTAGAGGCTTTCACTGTACAGACAGAGGATTCTGCTCTGAAGATAAGGTGAATGGATGTTTGAAAGTACAGTGTCCTTGCAGTGTGTTCAGAACTATCTGGTTCTTAGAGTTGGTTTGTAACTCCAACTCTTTTTCTTACATATCAAATTACATTCCACCAATTTGTTACCCGTCTACTAACAAATGCACCCACCTGCCTTTCTTGCACTTTTCTGGACAGCCTGTTCTTTCCCGGGAGCCATTATGATCCTCTCGTGCCTTTCTTACTTTTTAAAGCAGTTGTATTTTTCACTGGTAATTGAAGTAAGTGTAGTCTTTCTGCATATGTTTAAACATCTAATGTTATCATCACATAAGTATTTTTGTGATAGAATTTGTAAGAATAAATGTTCAAAGTACACTCATTATCTCTTCAAACCCACGGTGCCCTTTTTTCTTCCTGAAAGCTTCTAAGCTCTTTCCCACCCTTAGTCTTTTGTTTCACAGTTTCTGAAGCATAAATATTTACCAAATGTTTAGGAAGCTGGCATTAATACTGTAGGATTAAATAGTGCCTTCACAATATATTTACTCACTTTATATTTATTCATTCATGGTGGATTTGGTTGGAAGTATGCTGATGAGTTGTGTTGAATCTCTATCCAGTAGGCAGCTAGTGAGAAAACTTGACTTTTTTCCTTTCCTTTACAGTAAACTTGAACTATTATATACTGTTTTGCAGAACCCCCTCAGACTGGACTAAGAAATGATGCAGGTAGTGCTCTCTTGGAAAATATTCTCATTATCCAGCCCCAGACAGTTTTTGTTCTTTCAAACTGTTAGGAGCACCCACAACATGAAGTTTTGGGCACAGTGCCTCAAAACTACAAGCTGTATTGAGAAAATCATTGGCAGAGAATATACAGAGCCTGAGGTGAAGATATAATCAGTTCAGAGAGCAAAGTCTGAGCAGTGTCTATGCTGGTAAAATAACAGTGACTGATTTTCATTAATTTATACAGGAAAAGAATGAATGGTGTAGAGAGCACTGTTTCTTCCTCAGGATTGCCACTAAGAAATTCAAGTTAATCCTTGTTCAAGCAGTAACTTCAGAAAACAGCAGAAGGAATGTCTAGTCTCTTTCAAATTCATACTGTGTGTTCTTCAGACTCTTGGTATTATCAGAGAAGAATGCTGGTACCATCCCAAAGTGTGTCCACTCTTTGAGCCTAGTGGAGCTTGAAATGGAGACTCTCTGGTTTGCTGCTGTTTTGTTACTGGCCATTATTGTACATTACAACTGATTTTTTTTTTCCTGCTTTGTTTGTACCTCTGCTATGAAGAGGGAGATTTTGTAGTCAGCTCACGCTTCTGGGAGGTACGGGTGTAATAAGGGTTCAGGTTTGATTTAGACTCTGAATTGGGCTCTGCCTTTCTTTCCTATCCCTTCCTTTATCTCCCCCTCTCCCTGTCAGGCATTTTTCTTTCCCCTGAGTTGATGAGTTCACGAAATGATGGGAAGTTTCAAGAAACCAGGCAGGCTTGTTCAATAGGTGGTGTCCTCTTAGCTTCATGAATTGTGCTGGGCTCTTGTGCTTTCTCTGCTCCTCTTGCTCTGGTTTGATTTTGCTTCTAGTCGTAGTATGGTGTAATGATCTGTGTGTTTGAAGACCTGGCAATTAAGTGTGATTTAATGTGCAAGTCTACAATTTTGGAGTTCCAGTTCAGTCTGAGGAACAGCAACAAATTCATAGCATACCCTCTATGCAGAAAAATAGCACCTTCTCTACAGTCTATATTTTTTTAGTGAGGAAGGAAGCAATGAGAAATCAACTGATCAAACTTAGGCAACTCTGTTTAGAGGTATTAATGTAGCTAGAGTAAA